TGGAACATGTCAACGTTCATATGTGTTAGAGATAAGTTCTTGATAAGTACGCATAAGTTATACACACAGTACTCATAAGTTTTGGATAAGCTAGACGCCACAACTTATGAGTAACTTAGACTCAACGTATGTCAACAATCAGATAACTTACTTGTAACTTTTGGCCCACGTATGAGCATACGCTGGCATATGTTTAAAATTTGCTCAAAATTTCTTGATGTACTTCCAGTATGTCAACGTGCTCATAACTTATACAAAACTTAACCATAACCTAGCCAACGTATGCCAGCAAATTTGCCAAATTTTTTGTATGCTGGCATATGTCAGCTAAATCTCCCAAGTTTGACAGCGCCATTATGCAAAAATCAGCTTTGGCATAAAATGTAACTAGGCACATATATGACAGACCAGTGTAAGTTGGTGTTAAGGGTCCAGAACCAGTCACAAACCTTGTTCCTCAGATATTTGGAGGGGCTGCGGATGTCGGCGTTGATGTGCGACATGTGGATAAACTTAGAGATTCCCGCTTCCTTTGTTGCCCTGGCAAGTTGCTGAGGGATGTTGACAAAGACGTCCTCAAAGCGGTAGTTCCTTTTTTTCCACCAAGAAAGAGGACAGAACTGCTTAATTCATTTTAAACATCACCTTTGACAATTTTTAATTCTAGATTAACTCACCTCGTTTCCCACTCCCTGCCCACCAGATTGATGACCACATTGGAATGCTCGATGGCCCGCTGGATGGACTCTTTGTTTCTTGCATCCCACTCCTTTTACACAGATGACCACAAAGCGTTTTAGCAACAATTCAATCAAATATTGCCTGTAAATGTATTTAAATGCTATTTACCACAAAAAGGATTTGCCCCAGATCACCCATGGGCCTGAAGTGCATGAGGTCATACTGATCACAGCGGTGGGGGATCATAATCTGAGATCCTATCCGACCTGCAGAGCCATACAACATTCAGGGAACTTTAAAACCACTCAACAATAACTTGCTAACTATTAGGTCTGTAATTCCACACAAACACAAAAAACAAACCCTCACCCAGCCTGTTGACCACATAACGTCCCAGGAAACCTGTAGCTCCAAACACTGTGGCGGCTATTCCACTGGATGATGAGCGTCCTCCTTTCCCTTTGGGGATGACGGCATGGTGCAGCTTCCTCTGCTGCACTGTAGCGACAGATGCAGCTGCAAAGGCACTAGGACAGGAGCTGCCTGATAGCAGGAGAGAAAAACATATTAATAACTAATTTTCTACTCTATTATTACACAAGTCAACTATTTAAATATTCTTTTCAACATTACAGATATAAAGTTCCAATAACCAACAGAACACACTTTGATGTAAAAAGTAATCACATCATATCTGGATTAGAACAAAATTTTTGTTTTCTTTTCAAACTTAAAGAAATATGTTAAGGCTGATACAAAAATCGTTTTGTTGTTTTTTTTTTTTGGGTAACTAATTTAGATTGATTCAGATTTATTTTTCTAATAAATAAACCATAAGAGAAAGGAAAAATGTGCTGGAGGTTATTTTTGAAAGCTTAGAATATTTTAAATTCAACAAAAATGAAGTAATTACAAGGCATCTTCAAAAAGGATACAAATGACAAATACTTCCTTTCAAAATAACGCTTTAAAATAACCGCTTTTTGTTTGATAGATGTTTTGTTTCATTCAGGTTTGTACTAAACTTGGAATGAAAAACATTAACTGCAGCTTTACATAAACGGTGTTCCACATAATCTGTTTGATTTAAATGAAGATGAACAACAATTTATAAACCAAGCAATAATCAAATACTAAAAATCAAATGTCTGAATGTTTACATTTTCTGGTTTTCATTATATCTTGGTTACATATATATATATATATATATATATATATATATATATATATATATATATATATATATATATATATATATATATATAAACTTAAAAGCTTGGTAAAGGCCCTAATCAGCTTTATTTTTCATTATCCGAAAAATAGAGAAACAAAAATGAAGCCTGATATTTAAGCTAAACACAGGAACTCTGATATTAATTAATTTTCGTTTAAGCAAAAAGGTAGAGCACAGATTGTTAAATGTTTGATTATCTAAGAATCCAATCGATTAAGAAAGTTCATAAAAAGATTTAACTAAACATGTTTAAAATGACATAAAAGCAGGACTCGAAGCAGTGATCTGTGCATGTTTTAGACATTCCACCTAATTTCCACTGACAGCTGACTAACAGGTTTTGCTGCAGCAGGGTAACATTCTATGTAGTGAGATAAATCCCTGAGAAATGCTCATGCTTGACATGTCTGCTAGTTTAAAGTAGACTTTAAATGCAAATCTTTTGGGGTCATTTTGGGTCATACTGTCAGACAGGCCTCATGATATGTTGAAACAACCATTCCATCGAAGCTGCCCCATTTCTTAACCTTTATACGTGCTTCTTTGTTATCGACTGAAATGTAATATACTTCTAGAGTAAAACTATGACTTGAAATATTCACTCAAACATTTCTGCTTACATCTGTTATCACAAATATCGCTTGACCAGATTTTCAGCTAGCATAAAACCAGGATGATAAAAGTTTCGTATTGCTGAACTAAACCTTAATCCTAAAATAAATGTATATCTGTTTCACTGAACAACGCAATGATTCAAGCTTTTTGCATATATGTCTGCAGTGCAAACACTCAGATAAACATCACGGTTTCATAATAAACGTATCAACTAGCTGCAACCCTGCTAGCGGATGGTTAGCCAAGCTTGTTAGCAAGGTCACTCTAGCAGAGTGTCCTTTCTTCATGCCAGTCGGTGTTAGAGGGGCGAGTTTATTCTAATGAACATAAAACATATTGAGCTGCAAAGCCCATATGATCAAACAGCTGCTGTTCTTACAATACTTACTTGAAATCTTTGAAAGGACACCCGCAGGACGGCTAACCAACACTACGGTCGCCATCTTTCCGACTACGGCGACTGCGCAGGTTCAAAAACAAAAAAGCGCTCTGTGGAAGTTGTGGTGTAAATGCCCCCCCGTGGCAAAAAAAACATCCAAGTTCCCCAAGTTTAACACAAGATTGACTATCTATCTATCTATCTATCTATCTATCTATCTATCTATCTATCTATCTATCTATCTATCTATCTATCTATCTATCTATCTATCTATCTATCTATCTATCTATCTATCTATCTATCTATCCATCTATCTATCTATCCATCTATCCATCTATCTATCTATCTATCTATCTATCTATCTATCTATCTATCTATCTATCTATCTATCTATCTATCTATCTATCTATCTATGTGCTAAGATTTAAAGATATTTTTCAACTGCACGGTGTTGAATATAAATTGTACAACTAATACACGACCCAAATAAGGCTGCAGAATTGAAATGATTGTAAAATAAGCAAAGTAATGTATTTCCTGGTAAAACACATTGAAATGCATGCTTTCCCTTCATAGGTAAAACCCCAAAGGGGCAATGAATCTGTCCAGGAATAGAAAACGGATGTATTTTTATATCATAATAAATCTGAATTTTTATGTTGGTATCATGTTTGCTTGTCTATGTCAGACAAAAAAAGGAAGATGTCTGTCTTTAAGTTCATGTTTAATACTGGGCAAAAACAACACATATCGAGAGAGAAATAATTTAAACTATATACACAAAATGTCATTTGAATATTTATTTCAGCAAAAATACATAAAAAGGACTTTAGGTTAAATTATTAACAGCTATAATACATTTTCTATTGATGAAACTATTAACTGTTTTTACATTGTTTTAAACCGGATCTCTAAAACAACCAAATTCAGTCATAAGTACAGACAAAATTATTTTTGACAAATGGAATTAGGTCATCATATTTTTGAATAAAAGGGATCCTGGCAGGGTGTCGTCAAAAACAACAATAAAGTGCTGGATTCCAAATACTGCAAGGCACGAACTATCAATAACAAGATTGCCTTTTTGCTTCTAATATAAAAATATAAGAATAACAAACATACAAAAGGATCCGTAACAGCACAAGTAAAACCTTGTCTAAATTCTGTTTTGTTTTACATTGTACAAGAAATTGCAGCAGAAATATATACATTAGATTCTTTTACAAATCCACATTTTGGGATTTGAAAACACAAGACATATTAAAACAAAGACTCCAAGCTATTCCACAATAAAATAAGAAAAAAAAAACAAGTAATACAAGTCATCAAATTCATCCTAAAATGTATCTGATATCTATATATATATATATATATATATATATATATATATATATATATATATATATATATATATATATATATATATATATATATATATATATATATATATATATATATATATATATATATATATATATATAGAGAGAGAGAGAGAGAGAGAGAGAGAGAGAGAGAGATACATAAAAATCCTTTGGCTCAGCCATTATTCAACACAATATCTTAAGATTTTCAAACTAACATGAGAACAAAGAGCATCAAATAATTTTAAATATTTTTTTCACTTGGGCTTGTTTAATAATAACCTTAATTTAACCACATAAAACCTTAATAGGATCTAAAATCCCTTTTTTTATGAGAGACATAGACTAGAATTCAACTTTATTTTCAATACATAGTTACAGTACAAAGCAACTAAAATTCACTCTCCGCATTTAACCCATTCCTTTGGGGAGCAATGAGATCCAAGCGCAATTCTCTAACCTCTAGGCTTACGCTGCCTAATGGGTTTATGGGACATTGGTTTATCTGATATTTTTCAATGCACAGCAAAGACTTGAATGTAGAAATAATGAACAGCAGGTCCAGATGCTGTTGTATAAATATCACCCTATGGCAAACATAGTTTATGAGATGACCAAAATAGTAATTTAACTTCTATAAAATAAAACAAGCAATGATCTTCATTTGACAAGTTACTAAAAACATAGAATATGTCCATCCGCATTCATCTTCTTTTTCCTTTCCATCTGATTTTTTTTTTCTAACCATGCTGCAAATGTAGAAAAAAAATGACTTCAGCTGCTTTAAAATGTCAGACTTGTCTTCATCTTGTTTAGAGACATTACTGATCAGCCTTACTGTATTAAGGGTCTTTTTTATGGAGGTCCAGACCCGAACAACAGCTGCTTTCTTTAACTTCCCACCTAAACATCCATAGTTCCAACCTCTCACGAACGCATCATCCTTTCCTCAAACGGCACTGACGTGATTCCTACCCATCTTTTCTTTCTGTACTCATTTCTTCTTGAGGCTTAATGATGATATGAACTGGCCTCTCTCCACTGCCCTCTTGCTGCTTTGTGTTTTTGTCCCCATTTTCATACACCTCCTCCTCGGCCGAGGCCCCGATGGGCCGCAGACGTTCGCCAGACGCCGTCTGTGTTCCAGCTGCTGAACCGTCCCTTTTCATCTTGTCATTGCTGCCATGTTCTGAGCTGACTTTCTCTGATGCACAAGTAAATCAATGCAAATATGTCATATTTTCCGCATTTATTTTACTGACATTTAAAGTGCACATGGAGGCTTGTGACACACTTACCAGGACAGTTGTTTGCTTGTCTGTCTGTACTGGTGGAACTGTCCGTGGTCCTCTTTGCCGTAGGCTTGGTTCGGGATCGAACTTTGTTAAAATTTCCTTCTAGGATCCACTGATGCTGCAGTCCTTCATCAGGAGTCATTCTCTTAGTTGGATCCCAACTAAGAAGAACAGGAAAAAAACTTATATTACGAAAGAAAATGTAAATCTCTAAACTTAAAACAAGCTTTAGACAATAATTGTTTATAATCTCAATGCAGCATGCAGAACCAAAAAGAAGCTCTGAAGTACCAAATCCAATGATGTTTCATAGATGTGAAGCTGAAACTTACGCAAGACAGCGCTGGATAAAATCCAGGAATAAAGGATCATTGGTTTTCAGTGCTGCTGATATCTCTATGGAGTCGGGTTTCCGTTTCTTCCCTTTGCTGTTGGTGATGTTCCTTGGGTTTCCTTTGGAGTCTGCGCACAGAACATAATCATATATTAGATTAAACGGCTTTTAAAAGGCCGATATGCTTGTTTCAACAAAAAATCCTTACCAAAGAACAATTTCCTCCTTGATGCCGACTGAACAAAGTCATTTGGAGGCATGCCAAGAACCTGCAGGTTAAAACACCAGAACTTTTTCAAACAGAGACAAAGCAGAGAAAAACCTAAATATGAAAAAGTATTCATCTCCTCTTAAGGTTTGTCTTATTATTGTTTTAGATTTAAGGGATAAACTTTTTCAGAGCCACTTAGGATGTTTTAAAACATAATTTTCCTGTAATTTTTATACTCAGGGTTTAGGTTTGTAATGTGCAAAATTCATTGCAGATCTAAAACATTTGAGTTTGACAAAAAAAAGCAAAAACAGTATAAGCCTGTAAAGAGGTAATTACTTTTACACAGAGGTGTTTTGTCTGGAGCCCTACCTCCATTATGCAGGCTATCTGCTCCACTTCGCTCTCTCCTGGGAAGAGGGGGTAGCCTGTGTAGAGCTCAGCCAGGATGCAGCCCAGACTCCACATGTCGATGGCCATGCTGTACGGGTGGCCCAGGATCACCTCTGGGGAGCGATAGAAGCGACTCTGGATGTAGGTGTACACTACAAATAGTGGAATGAGGGGGAAAATAAAGAAATATTCAAACCAGTTACATTCATATCTGGGTCCCTCTGCTTTGCAGTATTTAGTTATTAATAAGTAATTCATTTATTAATTACCTCTTTGTTGTTCATAGCAGCTTGATCCAAAGTCAACCACCTTGATGTTCCCCGGCCCTCGCTGAGACAGAAGGATGTTTTCCTATTGAAGCAGTTTTGCAAACATGTTAGAATTTCTTCAAGCAGCTGTATAATGCTATGTACAATGCTATCCACAAGAGGGAGCTCAATGAACTATTATTATTCTATGGAAACCTAGTGATAGTTATTCAGACCCAAAGCGATATCTCTATCCAGTGATACACACACCAGTCAGTCATTCATACATTTTCTAACTGCATAATAAGGCCAGATAGAGTTTAATCGTCAATACCGGTTTAAGATCACAGTGGATGATCTTCTCCCTGTGTAGCATCTGTAGGCACCTGAGAAGAGCATGGGCGAACCGACGGATGAGAGCGAGGCTGAAACCCTGGAAGTTGTTCTTTTTGATGAGCTCATAAAGGTTCACCCTGTCAGAAGGGACAAAACAGGACTCATCAAGCTGCTGAGGGACATTTACCAGATAGGGCAAAATCACCTCTTTAAAATATTTATTTGTTTGTAATCCATACATGTTTGCAGAGAGAATAATGGTAACTGTGTTACAGGCTTGCGTTAGAGACAGAGACAGCTGCTGCTGGATCAAAGCGCGCAGGTCCAAGCTGAATGATGACAACGGTCCTATTTTTTTAAAGTTTGGATGCAGATTTCGTTTTATTAAAATGCCTAAGGCTGAAGAAATTAAATCAAATACAGCTCAGAAAAGGCACTGGGGCTTATTTTAGCTTGAAAAGCAGCAGTTTAACTATCTTTTATAGATTTTTATGTTATTATAGGTGTAATAATGCTACATTTTGTTATATAAACTGATTCTGAAAAAAGTGGAAAATACTTGCTTCCTGAATGTTTTGTGGCCATCAAAATGCTTCAGTGTTATTCTATGGGTAAAATAATAAAGCAAAGCATAGAAAAAGCATTTGGCAAAATTTGGCACATTTGGAGATTTTTGGAGATGCTGGTGACACCAAAAGATCAAAGCCCCACAGCTCTGGAACTGTTGTAGCTAGAGGTCTGAAATTTTCTGCATTTGTGGTTGACATGATGTAGAACAAATGTAATACAATGAGACCTTTTCTCAAGCATGTCTTTATTACTGCTGTTCAAAAAAGTCCTTTCATTTTGGAGAATAAAAAAACAGCAACTTTGATTCACGTTTGAACTGATGCAGCTTGGTCTGTGTTCTACTCACCCAATTTTACAGTTCCTAAGTTATTTGCTTTTCCATTTGGGTATGCAAATTAGGAAAATTTCCGAAAATGAGGTGGATATTAAGAGTTTAAAATTTATGTTTGTAATCCATACATGTCTGCAGAGAGAATAATGTAAAAGGTTTACATAGGAAAGGATGCATCATATTATCAAGCAGAGCTGCCAGCCAGATGTTTTGCTCCTTAACACCTCTGATGAAACCCTGACCTATTTTCAAGATCATTCTTGAAAATAAGTGGACTGTGATCACATTCAAAGGTGGGCAGGATGTATACGGCTGCTATTTCTTGCTTCTTGTGATAAGCAAAAATTTCTTTAGAGTATATGCAACTAGATCCTTCGCACCATGAAGCAAGATAGGGTAAGAGATAGGGCCCTGATCAAGGCTTTAACTAATGGATACAGTGACAGTAATGTTAGACAAGGTGCTCGTCCAAGACGTCCCCTAAAGGTCATTCAGCCTGAGTGACATGTAAACCTTCACCTTCAAATAGATATCAGTGGCCGTTTATTCTAATAGGTAGATGGCTTAAGATACAAAGAGAATGTTCCGTTAGCACAGTTCCTGACGGGTTTCGCATTAGGCTTTGAGATTTTAACGTGTTTAAAGGTGAGGAACCCCTAATTATAAGATCAATTATTAATAAAAGTGCCCATAGTCTCCTGTTAAGGCCAATTGTTTGTGCTTTACTGACCCGAGAAGTTCAAAGGAGATGCAAAGGTGATTCCGGAAGTAAAAGTGCTCTTTCATGTGAATGACATTGTGCAGGTTGTCTTTATCTTTCTTCTTTATTACTTCTAGAATCTTTAGCTCCACTAGAGCTTGGTGATGAAATCTGCAGAAAAAAAATGAAATATCAAAATCAAGAAACTCAGAGAAACAAATGTTTTATTAAGACAATGATTAACACTAACAAGCATTAATGCATTAATACTCAGCCTGTCTAAAACAGCAAGGAATTCCTCTAAATTTGTGACACTTTGCACCTATTTTGCTTTCCGCTGTATTGAAGTGTTGTAAAACTCCAAACACTCCCAAGTTTAACTAACAGGACTCAGAACTTTGTGGCCAACTGTGGCTCTCAACAGGAGGGAAAGGTAAGATTACACCGCAAAGCACTTACTTCCATCAGGCTAAATCTGGTCTCAACAAATTGGCAGACTCATAAAATGTAAAACGATCACGGTGCAAGCATGTGGGAAAATCTCACAGCACTATCAGATGTTGAATAAATGCCAATAGATGGCTCTTAGTTGGTCCCAAGAAATGTTTTCTTCAATACATAGAAAGATAGAATGTTTCTGAATTAAAATAAGACATTTATTTTAAGCAAAAAAAGAGAAAATAATAGAAAGAAATGACACACCTCTTCTTATTGCGTATCATCTTTATAGCAACAAGTTCATTGTTCTTGTGGTCCAGACATTTCAGGACTTGCCCAAAGGAACCTTTCCCGATCACCTCAAGAACTTCAAACCTGTATGCTATGTGGTCATGCAGCACCTGGAAGACAACAGAAACGTTTCTTTTATTTTATAATGTTCTATAAATAAGCAAAATATTATCATATCATTATCACATATTTAAAGCCCTTTGGGAAACTCCTCCAACTCCCATTGTCATTGTGACACACACAGCACACACAAGTGAACACTGCACACCATGAAATTACATTTATGCCTCACCCGTGCAAGGGGGCAGCCCTCAATGGCGCCCCAAGGGAGCAGTGTGGCGGGACGGTACCATGCTCAGGGTACCTCAGTCATGGAGGAGGATGGGGGAGAGCGCTGGTTAATTACTCCCCCCACCAACCTGGCGGGTCGGGAGTCGAACCGGTAACCTTTGGGATCCAAGTCTGACACCCTAACCGCTTACCCACGACTGCCCAGAACCTACATAGGAAAGCTAATAAAAAGCCCTGTATTTATATGACCATGAGGCACTTCATTTAACCAGTGACTCTTCTCTGACTTTATTTTTACTGACATATAACTAAAAGAATTTTAATAGACACTTAAGTCCAAATAATAGCCTTAAAACGTAACTCATTACAGATCATCTAATGATTCACAGCTGTCAGTCGCATGGCTAATTATTCCCAGAAGACTCTGAGCCTGCTCATTCTTTATTCAACAACAAAACCAGCCTCTCTCTGGGTTCTGGTAATCAGCTGCTGAACTACGGCGCAGTGCGTCTTTGTTTAGCTGTGCCTCTGATCTGGACCAACTCAAACAACAGAACCAACGCCGTTCCTCTTAACGGCTTCTGTGTTTATCTGCGACCCTTCCCTGGATTTCCAGTAACTTGGCATACTCTTGTTTTCCTTCCAGAGGAAAATGCTCCTGGGCTAGAGCTGTCTATTTGGTGTTTCCAACCTGTATATAGCCCCTAATGGAATTAGAGGTGCTATTAACTTGAGTCTCGTCATGGGATTATCTCAGTATTTGTTGTATCTCTTGACAAATGACAAACATGGTAAAATGTAGTTGTTTCTTTCCACTGCCACCACAGACTTGTTCAACATGTGGAAATGTATAGTTCATTAGGCCTCATTAAATAGATAACTTGTTTTAACCAACCAACATTTTAAGACCTCTTTAATTGATATCTCTCTGATCAAAATAAAAATATATTAGTAGGAAACTGATGTTTAAAATTTCATGTCTTGTACAGTTCGGTTTCAAAGTCTACTGAGGAAAAGTGTCTTACTTGTCCAGATTTGTCCTGATATTTCTTGAGTGTGTTTATATGCCTTCTAAATCAGGTGGATTTTTAGTTTGTTATTTAGATTGGACACTGATCAACAAATGAAAATATGTCAATTATTTCCTATTTTTATTTCTTAATGCAGAACACTGTTGTTAAAGTAGAAAATTTGTACAATTTTTGTATTTGTAATACTTAGGGCTGGGCGATAATTCAATAACGATATATATCGATCGATAGACGTGTGGCGCAATAGAAAAAAAGAGGGTCGATAAAAGTTCGATAAAGAAACGCAGTTTTCCTTCCTTCTCATTGTAGCCTATCATGTAGGTTTATGCTAGTCACTACTTCCTCCTAACCAATCGCAATCGCGGACCCAGGCACGCCATCACCAAGCGCCGCCCTCTCAAACCACAACACAGAGCACATGAAGATGTCGCAGCAAGGAGAGGCGGAGAAAATTGTTCCAACAGTGACACCTGTATTTACCTACTGGTACATGTTCCAACAGTATTGCCCTAGCAATACTGTTTAATTTGCGGTGAATTCACGGGTTTGCAAGGTTTTCATCCCTCTGCCACTGTTTATTTATTAGAAGCTGTTTTAAGCATTAATTCAAAATAAGTCTTTGAAACTTCACATTGGAAGCCATAGCTATATAAATTGTTTTATCTAAAACACCTAAACCTCAATATAGGCTTTTTTAATGGCAGGATGAGCCCTTTCCTCCTGAACTATAGCTTCTTTGCAGTGTAGGCAACATTAAAATAACATAATTTACTTTATACTGGGATAGTGGTTTATTAAAACCATAAAATCCATCTCTTATTTTTAAATGAGCTGTAATCCAGCTTTAGAAATCTTACCCTGATGTAGCTTCCATGCTCGTCATCATATCCGTTGTTCTGCGCCGCTCCTTGGGAACCCTCGATTTTCTGGGAGCCCAGACCAAGATACCAGACCTCTGCAAAGTCATGGATTTCCTCCTGCTCAAACTCCGTCAGCCGCTCCCTGAAGTTATTTAGTGCCTCTGTGGTGGGAAGTTGGTGGAAGAGGAGGACATGATGAGTCACTGGTACATTAGAAACAGCTCAGCCAAATGCGGAGGATTAAGAATCGGTTTCTCTCAATGCCAGCGTACTATTTTCAGCGCAGTAGGGACATTTTAAATGTTACAGGAAATGTATTAACATACACTATATTGCCAAAAGTATTTGCTCACCCATCCAAATTATTGGAATCAGGTGTTCCAATCACTTCCATGGCCACAGGTGTATAAATTCAAGCACCTAGGCATGCAGACTGTTTTTACAAACATTTGTGAAAGAATGGGTCGCTCTCAGGAGCTCAGTGAATTCCAGCGTGGAACTGTGATAGGATGCCACCTGTGCAACAAATCCAGTCGTGAAATTTCCTCGCTCCTAAATATTCCACAGTCAACTGTCAGCTGTATTATAAGAAAATGGAAGTGTTTGGGAACGACAGCAACTCAGCCACGAAGTGGTAGGCCACGTAAACTGACGGAGCGGGGTCAGCGGATGCTGACGCGCATAGTGCGAAGAGGTCGCCAACTTTCTGCAGAGTCAATCACTACAGACCTCCAAACTTCATGTGGCCTTCAGATTAGCTCAAGAACAGTGCGCAGAGAGCTTCATGGAATGGGTTTCCATGGTCGAGCAGCTGCATCCAAGCCATACATCACCAAGTGCAATGCAAAGCGTCGGATGCGGTGGTGTAAAGCACGCCGCCACTGGACTCTAGAGCAGTGGAGACGCGTTCTCTGGAGTGACGAATCGCGCTTCTCCATCTGGCAATCTGATGGACGGGTCTGGGTTTGGCGGTTGCCAGGAGAACGGTACTTGTCTGACTGCATTGTGCCAAGTGTAAAGTTTGGTGGAGGGGGGATTATGGTGTGAGGTTGTTTTTCAGGAGCTGGGCTTGGCCCCTTAGTTCCAGTGAAAGGAACTCTGAATGCTTCAGCATACCAAGACATTTTGGACAATTCCATGCTCCCAACTTTGTGGGAACAGTTTGGAGCTGGCCCCTTCCTCTTCCAACATGACTGTGCACCAGTGCACAAAGCAAGGTCCATAAAGACATGGATGACAGAGTCTGGTGTGGATGAACTTGACTGGCCTGCACAGAGTCCTGACCTCAACCCGATAGAGCACCTTTGGGATGAATTAGAGCGGAGACTGAGAGCCAGGCCTTCTCGTCCAACATCAGTGTGCGACCTCACAAATGCGCTTCTGGAAGAATGGTCAAAAATTCCCATAAACACACTCCTAAACCTTGTGGACAGCCTTCCCAGAAGAGTTGAAGCTGTTCTAGCTGCAAAGGGTGGACCGACGTCATATTGAACCCTATGGATTAGGAACGGGATGTCACTTAAGCTCATATGTGAGTCAAGGCAGGTGAGCAAATACTTTTGGCAATATAGTGTATATAAAAGCCCGTCATTAAGCTCCTGTAAATCTTCTCATCAAAACTGACATACCTGTTGGTGACATGGGCAACCTTTGTCCTTCATATGCTTTCTCCTTCTCCAGCTTGTTACCAAAGGCCTTGCTGTTGCGTGACATGGACACCTTATCTGGTGCTGCACCGTAACGCATTGTGGGCTGTTGGGTCGGCTTTGACCTCTCCACCTGCTTAGTAACACACACAAAAAAGAAAATATAGATACAAGTGGACAGTTGAAAAGGTTTCGAAATTGATCTTCTGCTTTAAAGTATCAGATGGTACTGTGCTGCTGCTATCAACAGCTGCACATGTGTCTCATAGATGAATGTCTCACCGTTTGATAGTTGTTCTGACCCCCTTTGTTGGTGATTTGGGGCAGGATATTGTCTGATTGTTGCTGCTGGTTTTTGGCATTGCTGACCACCACCTGGACCACTGGTGTTTCGAGCTGAGGCAGGGACCCCAAACCAGAGCTGAATTTCTGTAAATTACAAAAAGGTTTAAATCTTAACACCTGCTGTATTAAAACGCCCATTGAAACATTAGTAAAATTATAGAAGTAAGTCATGATATGTAAATATGAGTAAAGTTTGATTGATTAAACTCCTAATGGATTGAATTAACAACTTAGCAGCACTGCCTCTATGCCATCTGTTGCTGTGCACTGTCAATCAGATGGCTGAAAAAGGCACCAACTATTCCAGCTTTACTTGGTAGAAGAACAAGTTCGTTGATACAGAATTTAGACAATAGTCTGGACATGAAGGATCTGTTATGAATGTGAGTTTTAAAATTAAACTCCTGTTTGTTTTAGTTCAGATATAACAAGATACACACTTAAATAAAAGATAGATCTACTTTTATTCTGTCAGCCCCCAAAATAATTGACCAAAAGTGTTGGAAATCCTAAAGAATGCTGTTTGGGTAAATGTCAGGTGGGCCTTTTTTAATTATCCGTTGGTTCTCCTTTATTGCACCATCTCTCTCCTACTCATGAACACTGACTTTAACTGAGAGGTTTTTTCTTCTGATACTAAAATAGCTTTTATGATCTGAAACAATTATTTTGACCCCAGGCAATGTGTGGCGATGTTTCTGTCACCTTGTGGGGACAATTTCCCAGGAATATGTTGCTTTATGGGGACTTTTAGATACTTGTGGGGACCAACAACTGGTTCCAATGAGGAGAAGTTTTTTCTTGAGGAGGTAAGGCTTAGGACTTAGATAAGTTTTGGTAGTGGTTAGGGTTAGGCCATACAAATGAATGCAGTATGAATAAAAGTCAAAGGAAAGTCCCCACTGGGAGAATGTGACACGTGTGTGTGTACTTGATTATATTTCCTACTTAGGACCCTTTTTGTTATATTTACTAAACATCTGAGGGAACCAAAGGTTGGTACTAATGTCCATTTTTTATGTTAAGGTGTCAAAATTAGGGTTAGGAATATGGTGATATTTGTTAGGGTTAGTTTAAATGTCAGAGTTAGGTGTAAATAAAGAAATTTAAATAAAATTAGGTTCATTTAAGTGGATATAAATACTAACTTTGGTGTGGGGCTGGGGATGAGGGTGTTATACAAATAAATAAAAAATCTTTAAATTCTTGTTGCATACTATTCCTTTTTTTTTTTTTATAAGTCCAGTCTTCATGATCTGAATCAGATACGTCTTCATCCGTTTGGTTTCTCTCTAACTTTCTACCTCCTGTCATGGAAGCTCAGGTGTCCAGGACCCCCCCGGCAGGTAGCGGCTGGAATTACCGATCAGGGTCAGAGTAACATGGGGACAAAGCTTCACCAGGCTGGGTTTGACAGGGTCTGTCTGTGTAATGTTTGTGGGGGAAGGTGGAGCAGAGCAACCCGCTTTTCTCTGACTGACACAGTGATTGCTCTCGTAGCACGATTACATGTGTTGTAGCCATGCCATGCTTAGTTCCTACAATGATGGACAAAATTAGTCCTCCTGTTTAAAGTCAACAGGAGGCTTGTCCCATGCCATGAAACCTTGTTATGACTGTACGGCATCCCTGTCCACTTTGCTCATTCACAAAAAACCCCAATTTTATTTTGGATAGTAGATATTTATAACTGCTTTGTTTTATGCTGCAGCAAGATCTGCTAACTTGGTAATGACGCATGGAGATAGGGCTAAAGATAGTCACCAGTACATGCAGCTACGGGCTACAGACTGGGGGAACATAATGTTTAAATATGATGTTCGTCAATCAGTGGCAGCTTGTTGTTAGCACGCACACATCTACACATATTTGCAACTTTATCAACAGTTTCTCTGTTGATGATCCATGGAGTATAAGTGAAAGCCTCTAATGTTCAACAGAAGCTACTCTATGGACATTGAGGTTTTCCTAATGGAAACACTCTTATGATTTTAACATGAAAGGGAAAGGATGCTCCTGTTGTTACAGCATGTTCTGGGCTGTGTCAGCTGCAGCAGCATCATGCAGAGGAAGCACTGACCTGTGAACATGGTCGATTTGTTCCAATACGGCTACCTTCTGCTGGGAGCCTGTGGGGGTGAGGGAACGCCTCTGGCCTTGACGCCTGCAGGACAAGCAGGAGCAACTTTATGAAATAGAATGTAAAAAAAAAAGAAAAGAAAAGCTGGGTGCAAATAAAAAAGAAATATCCACGCAAGAACTGACTTTTATTTACTTTACTTTTGTACAGAATGATGAATTGCGGGTTCATCAATGCATTTTAATAGATTACCTTTCACTAAATTGTACCAAACAAAGCAGCAGAGGAAAATAATGAAACTTCTTGTGTTTGTGCTGGCTTGGTTCTCTAGTCTCTTAAGCAACCCACAGCCTACAGGCACCTGAGCCTGCTTATAACCAGGCTGGTAAAAATAATGCACTGTGATCCTAAAATAGATCACTCCTGCAAAAAACCCAGCAACAACGTTCCTGTCTGTGCTCACTCCGGTTTGTGCAGTTGCATACTCATGTGCACGTCCATGTGCCTGCAGAAGGCTGAATATGTGCCAGACCACACTGGAGATCAATCTGACAGAATGCATTAAAGAAAATCACCAAAAAGGTCTGGATGTTCCAGAAAAGAAAGGGGAAAAAAAGACTGATGCACACATTTGTATGATTCAGTAGCTCAGAGCGAGGTTACACGTGCTTTATTAATTAGGAGGTGAGCACGCATCTCTGGTGGGTGACACCATATGGGCGAATAAAGGCTTATCTTCATGTGGAGATTCGTGTTAAACTCAATCTACCTCTCTGGCAGGGAGAGAGGGAGGGGCTGATCAGGATGAGTGGTGTGCTGTTTACAGCTGTTCTGTAGGAAAGAGCTTCCTCATCGTAATCTCAAAGGCTTTATCATTGACTAGAAGCTTAAACAATACCAGAGCTATTCCACAGAGGTGCCATTCAATAAACAAAGAGGTATAAAAGCTTTTGTTTTTTAACTAAATCAAAGAAAAAGTTCCTAGAGCTGCTCTGTTACTAAGTTTAATTCATTTCTGTTTATGAATTAGCTCCAACTATACATTTATTAATTCTCAGTGGTAGACTTCACAACAATTGTCCGCTCAAAGTACTTTAAAAAATACATTTAATGCCTATACAGAAAAATGTAGGGGGTCCAAAAAAACACCAAAACATCAAATTCAGTTACATACTTTCAACTAAATTCATCAAAACTTGAACAATTCATGTAATAATCCCATCCTGCTCTTCTTCTCAGTGACAACGTGAATATCTTTGGAAAGGTAATTTATTCCAGAAATTAAATCTCAAGCATGAAGCTGAAATCCCTGAGATGCATTAGATTCTAATATTTACTGATCTGATAGAGCTCATGAAGTCCAAATATGAAACCTTAAATAACTCCCTCTTAGTTTTACTCTCAGAACTAAATTCTAAAAGGCAATGCAAAAAACACATTTTCTATCACACTTTATCCTTTCACTTAACTTTATTAGTATTCAGACAAATAAAAGGTCTGTAACAGTTTAATTAGCGACACATGTTCATCACATGGCCACTACACTAAATTTCTGTATCTAATTCCTTTTTTTTTATTGGACTAATACAATGAAAAAATAATACAGAAATCTGTTATTGATTATTCACCTGCTGTAAGCTATTATAATCACATTTAAAAGAACAAGTAATGAGCTGTGCTTTACAAATGGAATTATAAAATAACTTTATTCTATTTACTGTTCAGTTAGGAATCAGAATCAGAATCCGAAATACTTTGATAATCCCAGAGGGAAATTACTTTAATCTGCAGTTGTAGTGGCACAATTGTTAAGTTGCTTTATAACCTGTGAGCTGTGTGACAGCAGGAGCCATATGGGTCAGTATGGCAGGCTGTCTACCTAGAACATCACCTGTGAAGATCCGCTGTAAGCTCATCTAACAGACAGCAAACACCTGACAGCTCAACAGGTGTCACAGATAAATGTGATGTGACCACATTTACATTAGGTATAAATGTATATCAGCACCATAGTAGTGTACCGTGAGCTCTGTGGTTTAGTCAGTGCAGCAGAGATAGAGCTATAACAGAAAGTTATTGAGTAGATATATTCAGGAATGCACAATTGATGCTATATGAGTGCAGATTTGGTCAAAATATCATTTTGTAATATATTTTTGTTTAAAATACGGTTATGTCAAAGAGAAAACAGGTGGGCGGTAAACTTTGTCCATTCAGCTGCAGGACTTGATGTGATCTAGGACGATCCTTGCAAATGTACAAGAAGAGCTTCATATCCAGGAGGGTCAGCTGGTCAGAGAGTCAAACCAAGGCAATAAAACAGGAACCACAGTAAACATCAACAAACTGTAAAACAGTCACACTATCATCTGTCAGGTGGTTAATTATTAGAGGAAAATCATCCCATCCTAACATCAGACCATAACCTGTGTTCTGATGCCAACCAACTATGACCAGGAGGTCAAAAGGACCCTTCTAAAGCTGATAAGTTTGTACTCGGACTAACATGAGTTTTGGTCTTTAAGATCCAATAGCAGCAATGGATAAATTTAATCAGTTCCCATGTACGGCGTGAAAAACACACCAGAACACATTTAGACTTATGGAATCTGTCAGCACAACCAACACTAAAATAAATGGGTCTAAAAGACTGAAATAGAAAGGGATCAGATTTTTTTCAGGTGTTGGGGTGCAAAGAGGAAAAAAAATGAAATCAGAATATAGCAGATGAATCATCCGAACTTTCTTTAAACTTAGAAAGAATTCACTGCCCAAATCCACAAACCATATAAGTTAGATCAATTCCAGCTACAGCCTAATTTTTGAGTTGATGCAAAAATGGAATACATTTCAATATTGGATCTGTATCTAGGCAGAAACAGCCTACATATGATCTAATTTTAGTGCAACATTAATATGAAAAAACCTAATTTGACTAATCTGTCATCATCTATTCATGAATATGTATCTATATACTTTAAAGTTATTTTTAAGGTTGGTCTCATAAGAAATCTTAATATGATACTTCCTGGTTGAGGGAAGCTAATTAAATAAATTAAAATAATTTGTTTGTAAAACAAAAAATCATCGCAAACAATGAATTAAATCTCAATTATAGTTTTTAACATCTTTTCCTCACCTTGTTATTTATTTCGGGCAACATCTTGCGTTTTCAGTCACTCTTGATTGCAAATAATCACAAGAGAAAATTATAAAATCCAACAACGATTCCTTATCTCCATATCAGCTGATCCGCAAAGAAAAGGCAAACTTTCCAGAAATGTGTCTTGGAGACCGGCTGAATGAACAGCGATGAGTTAAATCCTGATGACTGATGAGAATCTCCAACCCAAACCTCCCGCTCTCCCGGTTTTACGCGCACCGGGTAATGCGCTGTCGTCAGAGGGGAGATTAAGGAGCGCGACAAGCTGTCGACGGTGCCTGCGTCTGGAGGAGCCACCTGCTCAGGTTCCTGCCCTTGACAGCTTGGATTGGACCAATATAGGTCTTTTTTAATATCCGTCCACCTCCAACAAGCCTATTATGACCGAGGCGCTTTCTAACACCAACCCAGGGAAGAAAGAGAGGAGTGGAAAGAGACGGGGGCTTGACGCACGCACGGTGTTGGAGCGCACTTTGGGCACAATAAATAACACGCAGACAGCTCCCTCTCAACATGACTGAGAGCCTCTACACCAATGAAGGCTCATGTCAACCTGTAAATCTAACCGTGCTCCATTAAATACTTGCTATTTTAGATGTTTTCAGGTAGGGGAAACTGGATAACGTCAGAAGAAAGGCCAAAATGGCAGATTTTATCTGATATTTAGTACATAAAAGAACATCAAAAACACTCAATAAATAGGTTAAATTGTGAATTTCGTAATATAAAGCCAACCTAATTCAATGTATTTTTTCAGAGTTTTAAAGATAATCACTTAGTAGCACATGGATTTATTTGAAGGGGAAAAAAAACGTTTTATTTTGCATTTAATAAAAGAATAAAATGTCTCTATCAGCTTTCTAGATCTAGACATTGACATGTTTGCCTGTAACAGCCATAGATCAATCAGACTAAATGAAGATGAACTCTAATCCATTAAAGTCAGCATCTTGCCTCATATTTACCATTGGAACTCTGAACTTTGACAAAACTATTTGATCTCTTTGGTGTTTATCCTGCAAGAAGGTTAACCTTCAACCCAGTCTCCAGTCTTCTGCCTCTGCTAATAGGATTTCTTCCAGGCCCTTCAACTCAGACCAGTTTTCTTGTCCCTGCTGAAGATACCGTAGGCATCTCCTAGGTATAATGTTTCACCACCTGCAGGGGTACTCTGCTAGACAAAGCACTCCTTCCAGATCCTAATGCATTCTGTTGTCACATTTGGTGCCTTAAATACACATCATGTTATAGTGCTGCTGAACATGTTTCTAAGGTTATATGGGCAATGGATAGTGGTAAGATGTCTCTGTTCTCTAGACACCAGGATACTGAACTGCTGTATTTGCTTTGAGCTACATTAGACACCTCTGCCATCCGGTATTGCTCCTAACATTTCACTCTTGGTAAAGTTTTTTTCTTGAGGTGGACCAGGGTGGTAACATTGATGGGTCATTTTGTGGTCAGAAGCTCCTTCATAGATAGCATAGTGCTCTGATTGATGCTCTCCAGTCTGTCTCCAGTCTAGGTGGACATCCCTCGGTCGGCAGGTCTGCAGGTGGTCCATCCTTTCTCCATGTTATGATGATGGATTGATCAGGGCTCCTGTAGCCATTCAAAGCTCATATTGAACCTAACCCCGCTTTAAACTGAACCAGACTTTCCTCCCTGATCTATATGTTGGGTTCCTTGATCCTGATGTTCCATCTATAGTGTTGAGGTCACATACAGTTAATATGTATACATTTAGCCGAATGCAAATATTAAATATATTATGAAATATATATATAAAAAAATATATAAATATATATATTTAAATATATTATATATACATATAAATTCTTCCACCTCAGTTATTCTCTACCTTGTGTTGTTTAATCACCTAAAACCATAAGCCATCAGCATAATGACCGAATCAAAATTTGGAAATATTTTGTAGCACCCTAAATTTGTACCATCTGCAGCTTGTATATAGTTAACAACAACAAAAAAGAAAATAAAAAATCTATCTTCCTTCATCATGATTGCATTATTACATAAATGCAAGAGGTTGTTTTCAGGTGACTAATCTCTATCTGCAAGAAGGAAAACAGCTCAGTGGCTCCATGTGATGATTAGTCCACAATAACAAGAGATGAATATGATAAGAGGATACTGTTATGCAACAGTCCTCAGCACCTCAGTAATCAGCCTTAGGGATGAGTAACCACTAATAAAGCATCTCCTCTCCTGCCTATAACATTCAAATAGTCTGCAGTCCCTGTTTCTGTGCCAGTGTCCATAAATTAGACAGGCTCCATATAATAAAGAAGCTAACCATTTCTTTACTGACAAAAATTGGATACTAATTAAAATGCTTTAAATAAGGACTGTAAAACTGTGTAGCTCCTTTGTTAAAATTGTATTGCAGCTGGAAGGTCTGTGGAACAGGTTTTACCTGGGGATTAGTCATGCCTGTTATATTTAGAGGGAAAAATTATTTCAGATTTTCAAGTGGGAAAGTCGAAGCTTGTAGAGAAGCTTTAAATTTAAATGGCTATCACGTAAAACAAATATTGTGAAAGTTGTTGTTATAAGCTATTTACTGTTGCTATTAACCAATTCTAGCACATCACACCGTACTAGATTTTTGGTATCCCTAATAACTGTTTAAAAAAGAATCTTATGTAAGGTCGTCACCAGCTTAAACCAACCAAATCATGCTAAATTAAGGGGCTGTTGTGTTCTTTTATGGACTGGCAGCCTGTTCTAGGTGGGCCTCTCCCCCCCAATCTGCCTTTGCATAAGGCCACTCACACTGTGCCTGGTTCTGCTGGAGGTTTCTTCCTGTTAAACAGTTTTTCCTCTTCACTCTCGCTGCATGCATGCTCCATCTGAGAAATGACTGTATAGTTAAAGACAAAATGCAAGTGAATATCTAATGTTGCCACATGCAGAGGGAGTGTGTCCTGCAAGTCAATGACTTGATGCAATCAGCTGGTTTCCGTAGACAGAACTTTTTTTTTATCAATCTGATTCTATGATCTGACAGAATTTTCACTGTAAAGTGTCTTGGGATGACATGTGCTGTAAACTGGTGCTATACACTGTTAATTTACTGAATTGAAGATAACTAAAGGGAAAAAGGAAGACTTTTAACAAGGACTAAAATTAAAGAGACTGGGCCAATTTAATATTCAAGGGAAGACTGTTGCAGAGTTTTGGCACAGACACAGCAAATGCTCAGTGCTGTCTAGTTTCAAGCAGTGATCTTTGCAAAACCAAAGTTACTAGATTTGCTGACCCTGTTGATCACACTGAAATGTGGAGCAACAGAAGCTCAGAAATACAGAGGTAAGCTAACCAAGTCAAATATTCAAAAACCCTCAACAAAATTTTACAACAAACCCTGCAGCTGACTGGAAGCCAGAGCAAAATGCCAACATTCATATATTTAAGCAAAAAAGCTTCAGCATTCTGCTAATGATAAATATAGGCTTGATGAAGCCCATAATATAAAGAGTGCAACATGCCACTCGACAGCAGCATGAGGCAGATAGGACTAAATTTTACTAAGCAGACACAAGTGGAAAAACCTTGATTAAAAAAATTAGTTTACAGAATTTGCTTGTCAATTTAAAAAAGCTTTCCACCAAAACAGAAAGGTTTCTAGCATGGTGATAAAGTAGATATTCAATGTGATATAGAAGTGGATATTCAGACACTAAAATGTCAGATTTAGACTGATTTAGCTTTAGACAATTTTGTGACATCTAGTGTTTATATCCATATGACATTCAACAGAATTTGTACACTGCAGTAAATGCAGATACATTTGCAAGTCATCTGTAAAAACAAACTGACAAACAAAAAAAAAAAATTTTTTTTCAGAAAATTGACACAAGGAGCAGCATATACAAAGAAATAGTGAAGGGCCCAATATTGAACCCTGCAGCATGCCAATATTGAGTTCTGTGACATCAGAGATAGAAGAACCAAGATGTACAGAAAAAAACAGACCTTCTAATATGTATATAATTTAAACCAATGTAAGGTGGTACCATCTATGCCACTATGGTTCAAAATATTAAAACCTTTTACGAATGACAGTTTCAAATGCCATTGCTGAATCTAAGAACAACAAAACAATAGAACAGCAAAAATAAACAGCTGATGATTAAAAAACATGCTAAACATGCTGCTGTTCAACCATTGCTTAAAAAGTCCAACTTGGATTCTGACGTATCGGTAAACTGTAGCTCATTTTCAAAATAGCCTTTTTTGTAAAAGAAAAAAAAAATCTTGGTTTGGGGACAGCCTGAGGACAAAACGAGGAATTGATAATCCATAACAAGTGAGACCCAATCGAACCAAAACATCTTTGAGCAATTTCGGTTCAAAACAATCAAGTATACAATTAGGGGATCTTAAATTATGCACGATATAAGGCAGAGATACAGGGTCCAACATTAGAAAACAAAAGATAAGCTGAGCACATAAAAGAGCTGACTGTCTGTTTTTGACTATCTGAGAGGTTTTTGGAGAGATAGTTTGAGAGACTATACCATATTATTTGATTCAGAAGGAATTACAAGTCTATTTAAAACATAAATCAAGACCCAGGGACTGTTGGTATCTGTGATATCAAATTTGTCATGACAAACTTTCACATTGATGTAAGACAAAAAAGCAACCCAGTGATGTTTTAAAAGCTCTACAAAGTAATAGATTGAAGAAAGGCAATACAATACTAGTTTGCTTTAGACATACCTCTGGTTGGACCCTCCTGTTTCTGCCCAGGCAGCAACAATGGAGGAGCCTAAACCCGCAGCAGGCAGGTGAGGTCCCTTCTTCCCACATGGCAGATTTCCCCCATGCTGTCACCAAGACAGCCTGAAAGCCATCTTAAACTCTGAACATTATTTCCAGCCAGAATGAGGAAAGATTTCAACAAAATAAAGAAAACACCTAGTTGTTTGCAGAGCTAAATATTTGCCAATAAAATTTATGAACCTGGACTTTCGCAGCTTGGTTCCACTTCATGGGATGAACCTCTTCTTCAATTAAATGTGACATCCATTTGTCAGCATTCTGCCTATCTTTAGATTTGTTCCTCTTCTTAATATCTGGATCCTAATTCAAAACTTCCTGGGGTTCTTCAATGCTAGCCGACATGCTCATCTTTTTGTGAATACTTACATCCCAGTGCCCGTTCCGGGATAGAGACAGGTGACACAGTGGTGCACAGACAGAGAAAATAAGCTGATGGTGTCATTGGTGAGGGAGTGTTCTTTGTGTTTTTTGCTGCCTCTGACGTATGGATTCAACTGGGGACCCATCCTGAGCCGGAGACAAAGCAGCAGGGGCCTGGCACCTAGTTTCCTGTAAGGATCTAGGAGTGCAGGATTGGTGGATCGGAGGAGGGGGGTGAATGAACACACAATGAGAAAAAAGATACTGTAAGTGCAGATCCCATCATGCTGC